TTTCTTGCGCGACGAGACTTTCTAAACCACAGCGCAAACCATATATGGTCATTCGCTCACGTAACGAAGTCTTAGTTCGGTGAGCTATGACAGCCCTTCTGAACAGTCAATGTGATTTAACCATTTTAACAAAACCTCTACCACCCCGCTTGGCTTTGAGTCAACAGAGTAATTACGAGTTAGAACAACAGGCCTTATATAGCTAGTGTTCGGTGAAAAATGCCGCCAAAACAAGCTAGCGTCCTTCTGAGCTCGCTCTTCTCCATAAAGCGAACCGATGTCCACCCCTGTCACTTGCTCGGTTTTTTCGGACAATTCGAGCATTTTTATCATGGTCGGAACCGCTATCTCCATATAGACTTGGTGCTTTTGAAACACGGCGGAGAGTTTCTGAAATGCAACTGCGTGTTGTGAAGGAATGTAGAATAGATTTGAGAATCCCCGATAACACATGTTCAAACCACGTCCATTCCATAGCAAAGCATTCAGTGAATTTTCCACATCCCACGAACTTTCTTCCTGTCCCTTGCTATCGATTATTGCACGCTTGTAAGCGTCATTCAGGTAAATAAGCTCTTTATAAGCCTCCTCGCAGGCCTTGAGTCCCCACGGCGTATACCACCAGATCCAGGAATCACGCGTTTGCTGAAACATGACCTGGCTACCAAGCTGTCCTGAGCTTTGCCATATCCGTGATCGACTAAAATTTGCAATGCTCCAAATATTCAAGAACAGATCATTCCTCATAAATAAATAACCCGTAAACTGTGGTAGTGTCCTTGCTGCAGTACTCAGACACTCGTAAGCTGTAACCCCATGAAGCATAGAGACCACTATAAGTTTGTACTGGCCTTCCTTAGGCGGTTTGACAGGTCCGCAATAAACAATATTTGGAAAGCGATGTCTGTAGAGCTTCTCCAGATAAGGAATAGAGTCATAAAGAAATTCAACGAAAGCTATAACCAGTAAAATGTCGTCGAACTTGTCGTGTTTACAATTTCTTTCGCTGTTGTTCCCTCCGCGGTTGTAACTGTTCTGTAATTCGCGTTTTTGATCGATTAGAATGCTGTCCTCATCAGCTATTTCAATTACTGGACTTATGTAGATAAACAGATAACCTGTTGGAAACAAAGTATCTTCATTACTTTAAATCTAAGTGGTCGCCATCTCAAAAAAGCGTAGAATCTTGAAAATATTAGCCTAATTTTTCAAAAATTGTTCCTGCGTAAAACTTCTTAATCGCTCCCAATTTTAACCAGCCCTCTTTTTCTTTGTATATAAATGCCTCTTTTGTGTTTTCATACTCCTCAGTAAGCTATTATTTGAGTTTTATATAATTTGTAGGTAAATATGTGTATGATAAAAATTGCTTTGAGCGGAATGCCATAGAAAACAATCAAAATTACATTTTTCATTGGTTTCCGTGTTCGCGTGTATTTTTTTCTTTTCATTCTTCATGACTTTTACCCTCACTTTTTTTTTATTGCGTAGACTTACTTAACAATCTTACCCCACTGTCAAAACCACTGTTTCTCTTATCTAGAATCGCACTACGGCGACCGAATGTCGGTGCGGTGTTGCCCAAATCAAGGTCACCTGACCGAGCGATAGTTTTACACACGAAGCGAAGAGAAAGTAGCGACATGGCTTACAGAGCAGGTCAATATGTCTGTTATAACGGACGCTATATGAAAAGAAGATTTTGAAGTTCAAGAATTAAGCACCAAAAAACCCAGACCTAAACAGTGCAGTAGGGTAGTAATTATTTCACGCATTGTCAGTTTAACAAGTATTTTATAAACAATATTTGCGCAAGTGCATTTACCGTCCCGAACTTGCTAGCTCCATGTGTTCGCTATCTGAAGGCATTTGTATCGAGCTATACGGTGCAAAGCGTACAAGTTCGTACAAGTTCTCTTCCTTATCTCTCAGGTTAACGATACATCCCCGCTTTGTCCCACGCGCGAAGTCGAAACTTTGAATAGTTCAAGTAGCTTACTGAACGCTTCAATGAATGTCTAATAAGCGATCATTTTATTTCGACGCAAGGCGCTGATCACCCACCAATTCCTAGACGATGTAAAGTGAATTACCTGGACAGAAATTAAGAAAATAAACTGCAATGCTAACCTCTTGTCATTATGAAAACAACGGAGCACAGAGATAAAGTTACTAAACCAAGGAAGCACAACCGGAGACAGAGTCGGTGAGACGCCATATGCACTTCAACATGGCCCGCTTCCTTGGGCAGCATCAGTTCAAAAATCTCTTTTAACACTTGCGCAAAGGAGTGAAACAGTTTCCGCTCCTCAAATGTCGTTAGAAGGGACGGCTCGCTTTTCTTTTGTGTGGAAATCAACGTTGTGAGCACGCTGCACCGAAGCGCATGCTCAGTTAATTTGCCTGGCGGGTACCAGTAAGATGCGATTTTTTCCGTGCGTCAAATAGAGAAGGCTATATTCAATTTGTCAAAGGAAATTGAAAGACCAGTTTAGACTTTCATTCAGATTACATGCGTTGAATAAATGTATTTCTCCCTTCTTTGTCAAATTAAGTCTTCTTTACATTCAGTACTTCGCAAAATTGTTCATGGGAGATGTAAATTGCAAAATTATTTACCAGAATCTCGAGTTGCTGAGGCAAAAATCGTTAAAAATTTTACTGAAATGGTTCTTCAGCTGTTAAACACAGGGAAAACCAAGCCTATCCATCCGTGTTACCACGGTCCTTAACTCGTTAGATCTCATAATGGATTATTTAAGTGTAACTGACAAAATCGACGAAAACATTCACATTAATTGAACACTTTCCACGGTTCACTGATCAAATCACACGGTCATCTAACCAAAAAGAAAAGAATGTTATGATCAAAAAACTAAAGAATTTGTATCAAATTTCCGGAGCTAGGATCGCACAGCTTTTCCGCAGGCTTGCTTATGAGTATTTGTAACAACGAATGTTTTGCGGGCAAATTCAAGGCAAAAGTGTTGGGTCAGATTTGATAAAGAAAACCTCTCTTTCTTAATGGAGTTAGACATATTTTATAAACTATTTCAATTGTTTTGGTTACTGTTTTTTTAGTCCAAGATCTAGCCATTTCTTCGTAACAAGAATTGAACACGCGATTTTTTGATTACTGATGTACAGGTTTTTGTCTACATTTTCGTTCTTCCAGTTCGATCACGAAAAAGAGCCAGCAAACTATTTTATTTCACTGACTAGGAGAACTGAATCAAGCGTAATTTGTTTTGGTGGCGATGATGCGAGCTCAGATCCAATAAGCAACCGGTGAAAAGACCTGCCTAGAAAAATTACAACCGTTACGAGGCACAACAAATATGAGAACCTCGAGATAAACAAGAGCTTTTTCAGTTTCTCTTAGCCTGTCTGAAGTTCAGATTTCCTACGAAACCTCGCTGAATATAAAAGCAAAGAATTGCGATTATTTTGCTAGCTAATCTCATGACGCCTGTTCTTCACTGATTAAATCTTGTGTTAATGGCTTTATTGCCTGTTAACCCCTGACATTTTAATTGTCAAAAGTTGTCCAAATTCTCTCTTGAGATGTCAAGGTTAATGACGTTACTAAAATCATGTACTGAAAATAGACGATTCACGTCGTTGCTGAAAGCCTTTTAAACGGTTTTTTTTTCTTTAAATTCAAGAGAATGGACATTAAACCTACTTGCTCAATCAATATTGAGTTATTACACTGGCGAACTTTTTAACGATCTGATTCTTCAAAAAACATGCATCGTATATTGTAGGTATATGTCAAATACAAAACCTGAAAGTTCAACTGATTAAATCAACTAAAACCAGTTGAATTCTTACGTTCGCGTTTATATTTCCTGAAGACAGAAAAAAATATCTAAAAGTTTGCGTTCTCTCAGCGATGGTCATGACAGTGATTCTTGTATGCTACGTTTAACCCATTACCGCCTGAAAGACGCACTGTAAACAGCTCAAAGGAACCGTAAATCACGGGTTTTTCGTCCATTCAAACATATGTAAACCTTTCCTTATCGAGAATGTCAGGATTGCACACAACATACTTGTGACCAAGGACAATTTTCGACCCCAAATTCAAGCGCTTAACAGATGTACTTAACCCAAGTTGCTGGGCTAGTGTTGTTCAATTTATTCTGATCTTATCACATTGAACACGGTGCTGCTCATTGTTGACACGCACTCCTGTCGGCCACCTGCGAGCTAGACACTAGCCTGCCGCTGGAGACCGTGTCAACAGCTAAAACGGCTCAAGCGCGGGATATTCAAGGACCGGTGAACGCCAAGTGTCATACCAGGGAACTCCAAGTTCCAACACGGGTCAAAATTTGCGTCTACGACGGCTGGAATTAACCACAACACTGACCGCTTTGAGATAAACGTTGCTGGCTCGAAAAGGGAAGAAGTTTGAGTGATTTGCGCTGAGTAGAAGTGAGAGAGTGGTTAATCTTGGTGCATGACGCTAAGCGTAAGACATTCAACTCTATTACCTAACCGTACGCCTGACCGTGACGTAATTATTGACTTATTCAATCTGCCCGGTTGGGCGGTCGGAAATTTCTCCAAACAGCTAGCGGGGTAACATCAACAACACTCGACCACCTTCGAATTTTCTCGTCCAGGGTTTGGAGAACTCTTGCATACGGCAACGCGAGCGTTTAGATTTGAAATTCCTCCCCGTTCGTCGTAGATTTTTCCTCTGCAAGAAACGCACGCTTTTTCTGGTTTGTTTTGAAACAGGGAACCGCGCACGCGCATGCTCAACGCAGTATCGGTAACGCGTTTGAGTGATGGAGCGGTGTTAGGAGTTGTAGGAGAGACGCGAATGGAGGGAAAGCTAATCTGCTGATAACGTCATCTGAGGCAAGAAGGAGGGATTCCTCTCCTTAGTTGCCTTGTAGCTAGATGAGTAGTGGGGTTAGTTTGAAGGACAACTCGAGGACGCCACGGTGATATGCCAAAATCTTTCCTTGTGAAAAAGCCCTCTCGCAACAAGAGGAAGGAGAGATATGATGGTAAGTACCTGT